GTAATTCAAATTCATGCAAAAACAGTGGAAAAAGCTAAGCAAATGAAGAAAAAGTGTTGCTCTCAACCAAATCTGAGACTTGACAACTAGGCTATTGAGCTGCATCTTCACCTACTTGAAACAAGTAAAGCAGATGAATAACGGATGGAAGTGAAGCTGGACACAGATGGATAGGAGCTTAACGGACTGTCTCAAGCAAATTATGATAAGTCTCTTTTTCAGCGGCTGTGAAAGCAACACTTTTCAGTTCCATTTAACACCAACTAAGAAAGCAACATTTTCCAAGTTTGCTTTTTCCAGTTTTGTAACATGAAAGCGAAACACAAAATATCGTGCTTACTGAAAAAGAACTAAGCGCAAAATTGGTAGGTGTCAATAAGATGCTGCACATCTCTGTAGATGAAATCTGTCTTATCATACTAAAAAGCATCGAACATCTCATTCTTACAAATCTAATACAATAATCTGTTGCAGAAATTTATTCGTTATACTTTTTTATACTCTTCTGTTAACATCACACCGATATAGATGCGCACAAACGCACTTATGGAACTCTAAATTCAGATTCCCCAACGTTGCAATTTTCACAGGCGTCCATAACAACATGCTTTTCCCATACAAGACTAAACAGCTTGCAAGAAAAGTTGAGAATTCTTTAAAATACTGCTTATAAAATTTCATGGCTTAATGTAGATTTTTCGACAAACAAAATTCTGTTGGATGCACTAAGAGTCATTTTGCGATGAGCCTCCTCAAAGCACTGCTGATCGCACATGGCCAGTAATCTATCTGCACGCGTCATCTGATTTCGAACCATGCACGGCAGGACATAGTTTTTGTTGAAATTTGACAGTTTTCGGCAGAGCTGAAAAAATTATTTCACCTGGAAGAAATTCAAACAATAAAAGGACTTAACGATGCATCATGGTACTCGCTCCGAACGACGCTCAAGAAGTAAGCGAATTGCTGCACGAATTAAATGCAGAAATGAAAAGGTGATCCAGAAAAGCAATAATTCGACAGCGATTTCGAGCTTCCCACAAATAAGTTACATCTGGATAATGTAGATTTGGTGGATGTTAAAGAAAGGTGCATTAGAGCCAGAAGAATTATGCACCACAGAGCCAAATCGACAGCTGTACGTCGAAGAACACGCACTGGGCGAATATTAAAGCCTATGTGTCAAAGTATAATGACTGCACCAATCCTTTCAGTAAACCCTCACGTGTAAAAAAGGGTTGTTGATGTAAGCGAAAAAAGTAAGCAGTGAGTTTGTCTGAGAGCATGGAGCAAAAAATCTTTTAAGTTCTTTTTTAAGTATAAAAACATCGCAGAAAAATGACCTTAAGAGAATCATACAAAAAAGTAAAACTCTACGAGTGCGACTCGATGCGTACTCAGTGATTCTCCGTAGAAGCGGGTGTTTGTGTAGTGGAAGCGGTGGACACAAACTGGAATCATTCAGGGTAAAACGATTTGACACAGCTTCGCCCAGAATTCGAGTGTTTCTTAACAGCTTCCACTTTCATACCAAGTCTTGAAGGTCCTAATGGCTGACAAATCGACCGCAAACTTAAATAATTGGCCAACGCACAGGCTGCTCATGCGAAGATGCCTTTCTTGCATAGTTCTCCGCAGATTTTTGTCGCTAACGGCATTGTTTTTCCCTGAAGATGCTTCTAACTAAAAGAATTTGAGACTGGCCGCCAAACTGTCAGAAAACATTCTTTCAAAATCTCGGTTCTCTAGCTTCTCAAGCTCTCGTACTTATCAATTTACCCGAAGAAAATTTTGGCGGGCTTGTACGTGGGACACACACACCCGAAGTCTGGCTTTGAACCCATTGAGACTCAGGTGGACAGGAAATATCCTCTTAAAATTACTGTCTTCTAGCTTTTCAAATTCTCGAGTTAGGAAGACACCCGAAAAAAATTTTGGCGGGCCAGTGCTCGGGTACCACGCGTGCCAGAGGGCTGGATTAGAGCTCACTGAGACTTACTTGGGCGGGGAACGTTCTCTTAAAATTTCAGCTTTCTAGCTTTCCTGCTCCTCAAGTTAGCGACTTACCCGCAAAAAACTTTCAGGGCCCGTACGTGGGTACCACGAGGGTAAGAGCACCCATTTTGGGGACTGGGGCCCATACGTCCCTGTAGATTAAGTTCCCAAAGTTTCAGCCCTGTAGCTTTTGCAGATCTTGAGATGAAAAACCGTGGCAGACGCACGGACACACAGACACACAGGCACAGACAGCCTCTCGTCAATATGCGTTTTCTGCATTGCTTAGCTGGAAAAAACGCATAAAAATAAATTACTCAGACTGACCCACTGTGGTCCTCGAATACCGGCAACAGCTTCCATTCCTTCCATCATTTCATCGTGAACCTAAAATGACTAGCAAGAAAATTTAAAATCATTGGATTTCCTATATTTTGAAACATTCAAGTAAAGAAAAGTCGTTTTGTAGAAGCATGCGGTCTGCAATTTGCAAAAAAATCACAAAAATTTATTACATTTTTTTAAA